AAAAATTTAAAAAAAAAAATTACGAAAATTACCAAAAAAATGAGTTGCAAAAATAGTTAAGTTACTTCTTAACATGAAAATATGTTTGTTAAGCGAGTGAGAGTTTCAATCAGGCTAATTGCAGCAAATGAGCAGTTGCATTATTTACAGAGTTTATTTTTGGCCTCGCATCTCATCGAGTGACATGTCCCAGTATCATGCAAATTGCACTCAAATTGGACGAGATGGAGACAAAGGGCGAGCCACTCCTTTTTTCTCTCGGGCGCAAGGACGACAACTTCAGTGGAGGAAATTGAAATGAAACTTCAACGCAGAGGCGGCTTAAAAACTGGTAATTTTAGCAAGATGAGTCGAAAGTCGGATTCAACCCACGAGCGGCTCTCATTGTCATTGAGGAGAGCAAAGGCGATTGTGCGTGTGACGTGAGCTGGTTATTTTTAGATTTGTGCAATCGTCAATAAATTTTCTTGCGAAGGTGCGAAATTGAATATAATCGCTTGAACTGCTGCTTGTTGGAATAAATATATGAAAACTAAACTCACGAGTTTACCGAGAAAACGAGACTTTAATTTATACTAATGCTTTGCGCGCTACGCCCTTATACTTTTATCATTGCGTGGCCGCTTTTTATAAAGGCACATGTGGGAGGAGTATGACCGCGTAATAAACAACTTTCTTTCTTTTCTGTGTTGGCCGCAGAAATATCTATCCAAACAATCAAATTTTACTCGGCCAAGTGGAAAAATAATTTAATAAGCCGAGTTTTTATCGAATAAATTTCACGCCGACTTGTTTTCATTCCGAATCCTCTCTAATTTATGCCGCCGGTATTGAGATCAAGCCGCATGCGAGCCATACCGCTGAATCTGTCTCTCATAATTTGCCGCTCTGGTTCATATTCAGAAGATGATTCGGTGAGCAGCACACAAAACTGTCTCTAATTCGTTGCTCTATTGCTCAATTAAATTAAAAACTCTCTATTCAATTACTTTGAATTTCTCTTTCCTTCAAATTTCCATCAGCAGATTTTCTAATCATCTATTTTAAAAGGGCTATAAAAGTTCAAAATTACTAAATAGGGAAGAAATTTGACGCTGGATAATCAATGTCTAACGGATAAAACCCACTCGAATGTGTGAATTTCAAACTAATTGTCCTGAAAAAAAAACGTAATTTTTTTTCATTTATCTCTCTCATTGCTTGCCCTTTTCAAATACAAAAATGGAATTCACTTCTGTCTAAAATTAAAATAAAAATCCAAGAAATTGTTATTTTCTACCACAAAATGCTTGATTATAACTGATCAAATTGATAAAAGAGTTAAAAAATTAATGAAATAATGCCACAAAAAAGTCATGAGGTAATTCTGCGTATAAAATCCACTAGATTAAATCAATTGCTCGTCTCCCAATTTCCTTTCTTTCCTTGGTTTCACAGATATTAAACTTTTTACATTAAAACGCAAATCAATATTTCAAAAGTTCACCCCTTTTACGAAATTTGCATGAGACTTGAGCCCTGCTTCTCTCTCTTGACTGGCGACGACCCAAGCAGAATTTTGTTTGGTTTCACAGCGAAATTCTCCCTAAACGAAAATCAATGTGCGTCGTTCTCTCATATTATATTCACTAAGCGAATGGAAAAATAATAAAGAAACTCTCTTGTGCTGCATAAATGGGTGTGTATAAGTGAGGCGATAAAAATAATTTCCCTGAGCACAGTGCCCCGCTTTGAGCACCGTATGTCGATTTATGATACAGCGTGAAATAACCTACTGAAGGAGTGCGTGGGCTCAGCTGCTGTTGGCCGATTGAACGTCGGGGCGAAAAACAGGCCACATGAGAGAAGAGAGAGGCGCGAATCGTGCGTTGCATGCCGATTACAGAGGAATATGAGTAGGAAATTCGCGTGAGAACAAAATCTGGATGCGAGTAAATTTGCATTTGCGGGCAGAATTTGCATTAAATTTATTTAAAAAAAAAACACAAGTTTATGGCATAACGCAATTAATTTAAAAATTTTAATTTTAAAACTACATCCATCTAGGAAAAGACCAATTTTCTTTTGATTTAGGCATAAAATGCAAGACTAAGTAAATACTAACAATCGATATATTTTAAATTTCATTTTATTGCTTAATGAAAATACTACCTTCATATGAAACGAAATTTGATCAATCCATCCAATGATATTTATAACATGGCAAGATTTGATTAATGCTGATTAATTCTGGAAGATATATATATTTTTAAATTGTTTGAAACAAAAAAAATATTTTATGAAAGGATATTATGTTTAAGAGAATGTTATTGAAGTTAATACAATTTATTTGTTAAAAATATTAAAGAAAAAAGGAATTATTATAGTAAATTCAATTTAAATTATTATAAATAAAAAATTATTTAAAAAATTTAAAATTTAAGTACAAATTTAAATTTTTATAAAAAGTTGTTTTTAAACTGGCATTATGTACCTTTTTACAACGTAAAGGGACAAAAAAAAGTTCTCCGCATTTTATAATGTGATAAGCACTGAAATCTAGAAAATATCAATTGAGAATTGTCTACAACCACAAAATGACAAAATCCATATCAGTATTATGCATGTTATTTAGAAATCACGAGAATTCAACGTAAACACAATAAACGCATAAATAATTTATAAGCAGTGCAAATCTCATAACACTCATGAATTATTGCAAAATTGACATGCTCTCTGAATGAAAATGAACTTGCATAGAAACATTACAATAAGCTGCATCCCGGCTGCATTTAATTTTTATTTCACTGCCAATATTATTATTTATTCTTTTAAGATGAGAAATCAATAAGTAAATAAATGTCCGACTAAACATCTCAATAAATCGAATCTATACCTTTAAAAATATTGAAGAAATACATATATAATTTCTTAGAAATTTTTCCTCGTTTATGATTATTTTGTAAGCTGTTATTGTTTTAATTAATGATCAAAGTAAGTTTAAAATTAAGTAGAAAAAGCTTGATTTTTGCCTTTCATAATAATAATTTCATTAATTCGGACAAAAGAAGTAATTAAAAAATTTTTAGGTGAATTTTAATTTTGGGCATAAGATTCTTTGGTCAAAAGAAAAGATCTTAAAATTTGATTCGTGTAATGAGAATTTTAAGCTGGGCATTCAAACTTGCACTAAAAGTCTACTCTATTTCCGTCGTCTCGCCGGCGGCGATTAATGAGGCCTCTATTATTAACCCTTTTGGGCATTCAGGTTGTTGGAAGATGAACGGCCGGCTAAAAACTCGAGCTAATCGCCGCGCACAATCCACTCGAGAGGACACATAAAATTAGAGGCAGTTCATCATCCTCTGAAGATGCTCGCAGGAGTTGCACGCGCGTGCAGAGTCGCGACTCTGTATTTTTTCACGCTCGGCTGCTTTGAAGCTTTGGAATAATGCGAGAGGGCCATTACACCGTGTCCTGACCACCGGAACCAGAGCAGGTAGAAACAAAGAGGTAATCACGACAATCTCGCACCTGCCTATTTATTCTTATTCAAACATGCTCAACATTTTTGCCGATGCAATTATGAAAAATTTTGACCAATGCTCGTCGCGAACTGTTTGCAAAAAATTGTTTTACGACGTCAATTTTGGTTTTGCGGTTGCGCTGTTTCACTGGCGGTGGAAAAAAACAGGCCAGAGAATTCGATATTGTGATTTTGTGAAATATAGATAGCAAAAGTCAAGTCCACGTGGATAAACGCCCGAACCTTTGCCGCGGTTTCCCACGCTTAAGACGGCCAGATAATGAAAACTCTTTCTTTGTTCTTATCTGCTCGACTTGGTCCCATTGTCAATATTTGCTGAGCGTGTTGTCACTATAAAACACTCTCTGTATGCGGCCGAGAAAGAATGAAAAAAAAAGAACACGACGTTCCTACGTGGAGAGCTGTGAAAGGGTTAAGTGCATAATCAACGCACGCTTTTGACGTGAGTCACAATCATATACAGCAGAGAGCCGCACGCTGCCGATATTTGAAGTCTCGTGTTAAAATTTTTTAAATTCATTAAAACTGTTGAGAGATATTCACATGCTCAGCTTAAATATCCTAAGAAATTATTTTTCCATTATAAACAATTGAGATCGTTATTTGTAATCATTTATATTGAAATTTACATTCAATGAAGTGTGTTTGTCCCATCTTTTAAAATGTCTTCATATTAAGAAAATATAATAATAAATCAAATTTGTTCTCTTTAAATGTACATTGTGAGTAAGCAATGATCAAATGATTTTCATGCATGCTGAGCCATAGGCTCATGTGAATTGCTGGTACTATAAATAAAAGTTTAACAGTAACAGCAGTAACTGTGGAAAATATTATTTAAAAAGAAATAAATATAAATGGTAATATAATAAAAATTAGTTCTTTTTTAAATTTACTAAATACGTTTTATAAAAAAAAATTTGTATAAATATAAATTAAATAAGAAAAAAGGAAAAAAATGATTTGTAAAAAATGTCTTTGAACCTTATAGTATAATTTATTGCTTCTTTGTAGTGTACTCTTACATGAGCCAAATATTTGTGTGACTTTTGCGGCTTCGCTCACCAGAATCAGAATGACCGGCGCACACTATAAATAATAAAACCTCCGTCTATATACTTCAAATCACTGGTGTTGACAAAGAGAAAGACGTACATTGATTGATTGATTGTATATAAAATTAATCTCTTCTTACATAATAAACTTTTGCATTCATTTAAAAAAAATAATTGATTACTTCTTATAACAAATTTACTTCTTTTAATCCAATTTAAAGTTTTTAAAAATTTTAAAATCTCTATTTTTTGGTAAGAAAATTGCAGTCACGTATTCTTTTCTTTCACAAAACCATTCTTCAATTAAATAATTTCAGATTTCAGAATTTCCTGTAATTATTAACGCGCTGATTTATAAGAAAACTGCGTGACCCTGAACCTGAGAGCATGGTACTCTGACCGCAGATGATGGCACTCACCTGATAACGCGGCCGTCGACGCCAAAAACAAATTCTCCTCGGTTCCGTAGGGAAAGCCGTAGGACGGTGTCCACTCGTTCTCGCTGTCGTCGCTCTCTTCCTCTTCCTCCTCCTCCTCTTCATCGTCGTCGTCGTCGAGGACGTCCTGGCGGTCGGCGAACAGGTCCATCCGCGAGTTCCAGTCCTTGTAACTCAGCCCGGCCATGGTTTCGCGCACTCCACATGCACCTCGCCAATTTGCTCCGGCCCGACTGACAACTCGCGGTGCAGCGGCGGCGGCGGTGGGTTCACCTGCCTGCCTGCCGTGTTGTTGTCTGCCTCTCCTGCATTCCTGCCGCCGGCCAATCAGCGGCCGCCGCGGCCTCCACGTGACCCGCCAGGTAAGCCTTCTGCCGTTCACCGTGTCGTACTGACTAATGTTGTGAGAGGGCAAAACAAATGCGCCGACTGTACCTTGCCGTGCCTGCCGGCTGTGCCTTTTCCAACCCTCTTCATAAAAAAATTATCTATCTCTTCATATACGAGGAAAAAATTATTCAAGATACAATGTGTTTTTTTGTGTTTATTAGATCGAGGGGAAGGCATTGACGCGTGACTTTTAATGTATTCTACCGGCGCTCTATGCCTTTTCTAGTCCATTGCGTGTGTATATAATAATGAGGCTAAATTTGTTTCCAATCAAATACCGTAGTTTAACCTATATTTTGAAATCAAGAAAACACTTTTAAGTAGATAGGATCGATATGTTACACATATGTATTAGATTTGCTGTAATTGATTGAAATTTATTTTTTTAGTTCAAATTGTTCAAAAGAAAATTCCAATTTAATCTTTATTTTATAATGCTTTTATTGAGAAAATGAACAATAAATAAATCACATATTTTGATACCTAAAGTCAGGAAAATCACAAGGACAACTAACTAACCTCGGGGGAACTCACTTAATTAAAGTTAATGGAAGGAAGAAAACAGGAAGCATGTATTTGAGAGAATAGACACTAAATTTCATAATACAATTATAAAAAGGTTAAGATTAACACAGTATAATATATTAATATGAATTATGCGCTGCACAAGAGTTTTCGTGTAAACTAAATTATCTTTACAATAAAATGGAAGCCACAAATCAAAGTGGTGATAATAATAGAACAAAAAAATGGCACAAGTAGTGCGCCTGTATTAAATAGGCTGCATAAAAACGTTTCAACTAAAAATGTCTTTAAGTTTTTCCCAAAATTTTTCCTTAAATTTTCTCATTAAGACTTTAATAATGCTATTAAGTTTTAAATTAAAATTCGATTTGATATTGTGTAACTCTTGCATTTGTTAGTCTGTGTTATAAATTTTTCCATATTTACACTAATCAGACTAATAATATGGCTGCGGTGAGAAGCATATAGTGTACATACTTTCTTAAGTGTAACTCCATTATCAATTGCACTTTTTACAGCTACACCGGGAAGCAAACTCGATGGGGACAGTGTTTAAAAAGAACCATAATAAATCTATCACAAGCACCCGGGCGTGTTTTGGTAGTTTGAGCTGGATTTGGCAATCAGGTTGCTCAACAGGGGACATATCTTTCTTTAACAATAATTATTGCCAATCGATTATAAAATATACAAGTATAATTGGTGCAGTCCACACAATCCGATTAAATACACTCTAAAATCGTGCGATTTTCAGTCCGCGCGCATCTTTGCAAAAAAAGAGGTTGGAAAATTTCATAAGGACGGACTGACCTCTTTATACCAATTGTGGCGCCTCTCCGAAAGAGAGGAGGATGGGGAAGTTGCATATATTACTACTGATAAATGAGGTATCATTTTCACGAAAAATGAAGAATTCTTTGATCTTAAAATCAGTGTCGAGGATAAAAGGCAGACTCGAGGTGGAATTAATAGGCAGAGTTCTCATGAGCTGGTGTTCATCTGGGTCTGCCTCTCTGTCCTGAAGTCGTAAGAAAATTCTCTCTCGATATCATACTCACTCCACACTCTCACTGACGGAAGGGGTACCTTAAAAAATAAATATTCAAATTATGGAAATTTTTAAAATAATAAATAGCCTTACCGAGGTCGGGTCTGCCATAGATTTGAACTTGGGACTGATAACAAATGGAACACCCTCTAGACCTGTAAAAATTTTAAAATTGAAACATAATTTTTAATAATTTTTTATGAAATTATACCCTGAAATGCAGCCAGAGTTGCGTAGGTTCTGCTGGCAGCTGCCACAACCTTGGATGACTGTCTGGCCAACGGTGTCCTGACTGGGGAGACGTGATTAGGTAAAGGTGGAGGTGGCCTGATCGGTTTAAGGCTGACATAGTCGTCAGAGGGGTCGTCACTGCCAGGTGTCGACGGAGCGTGGCCGTTTGACTTTCTCCGAGGAGTGGCTGGTGCGCTCGAATTTGAAACACTGCATGAAAATAAAATTATTTCAATTTCAATTCTTTCGTTACCTATAAATAACACAATAATGAATTGATAAGATTGATAAATGAATATTATTTTTATAAAATAAATTTATTTTTTAATTTATAAATTATTTATTCTCTTTTATAGCCTTACATTACTGTTAGTTTAACATTTTGCAATTCCCTTGACAATTAACAAAAAATCAGACTAAAATATTCTCAATGTGGGAAACTTGAGAGATTTTAAAATGAAACCTTCATAGCAAAATTACATAAGTTTGGGACAATGTCTGAATAGATGTTTATATAAAAAAAATAAATGCCGAGTTGAATGCAAAACTGTCACATTTAAAAGCAAACATAAATATAAAAATGATAATAATTCAATTGTTGCAGCAGGAAGCATTAAAATTTTAAATTAATTGTATTTTTAACCTGTTGTTTGGTGAGTTGAGGCTGGTCAGGGACAAAGAGGGATTTGGCGAATTAGCCACCACAGAGTTAGGAACTGTTTTGAAGCAGACAGTCAATCCATTGATTTCACTGGAAACGAATAATTCAGTATTTCTTTTTCATTCAAAATAAATTAAAATTAATTACCCAGCCAGTGAGAATCCATCAGGGGACTTTTTCATTTTGCTCAGGATGATGACGTCAGTGACGAGGGTTATGGCCAAACTTCTTTTTGACAGTCGGTAACAAAGTTGCCTCTTCCTCCAAGCCTTTTGTTCTGAAATTAAATAAATAATAATAAATATTCCATTGCAAATATCTTCAACATGATTTTATTAATAAATTTTTGTGCTTGAGATGAATAATAAAAAAGGGGGTAAAGTACGAGATTATAAATTTCTGAGATTTGCCATTTTAATTAGTCACTTTTCTGCATATTCTGCGTCAGTGGGCTGCTATTTTAACAAACAACATCATTCTCCCGTGTGCAGTGCGGTCGCGATTTGAATAAAATTCGTCGGAAGGAAACCATGGCTTTGCGGTGCACCAGAGTCTCTCTTTCTCTCATGAGCAACAACCTGTAGTTCATTTCGCTCTTCTTTGTCTCGCAGGCATCAACTATAAATGGATTTTACAGGGACTCTTATATTTTTGCTAGGCATGTTCTGCATCGCCGATTCGCAAAAACCCATGGCAGAAGGTTCGGAGGAATTAATCTACATGACTTTGACCAAAAACACGCAACTCAGCGGGCTGCTCCTGAACGTCACTATCAAAAACTTCACACCCAAAACGGTCTTCAGCGAGAGTTCCTTGGTCTGCAGCCAAATCACGTCCCTCCGCAACAACAAGACCAAACGCGTTCCGGCAAACAGATTAAACCGAACGTCATCCGGAGTCAGTCCGGCCACTTTTCTCTACCACCTTTTTGTTGAGACGGAAGGTTACGTCCACTGCGAATATGTGCCCTGGGGGGTGTTGCTCATCCAAAGCAACACCCTCTTTGTCCGCTTCAGCAAAGTCCACGTCTCAGCTGTCAGACTGGACACCCAGATGTCTATCAAGAGTCTGCAGATGGCCGTGATGGATAGCTCTTTCAAAATCCGAGAGATTTCGCCGGATAGCAAAATTTTTCACTTCGACTCGGAATTTTACTCCATCGACCCCAGCTCTGACCGAAAAATAGTTCAGAAATTAGAGAGAGTGCTGAGGCAAAAGTTGAAGCCACCAGATCGAGTTGAGTATGTCCGAAGTACCAAGTACTGTCCGGGTATTGAAGAATTTGGAATTCCGCCGGCTGACGCCAAAAAAGAGGTGAAGGTTGATGGAAAAGTGATCAGGTGCGAGGGAGATTTTTACTACGGGGTTCACTGGCGCCAAAATGATCTTTCGGCCCTGGGATACGTCAACGGCACGCTGACCACCGTCGACGCCCTGCGAATTTTCTCCAACTCGCTGCAAAATGCCAAATCGCTAAACCTCCCAGTCATCGCAAAACAATATGACGATTTCGTGTCGGACGAAAATGGACTTTTGAAAGAAGCGAAGTCGCTCAACGTCAGCAACGAACTCCTCGTCAATCTGGATTCCGCCCTCGTCAGAACACCGATTAGTGGAAATTTCACCGAAGCGTCGCGGCCAAATTTTGCAGCCAGGGTGGAGGACATTAAAAAGACAGGTGGAGTTGGTGTGATGGTCAGAGAAAATGGAGCTGTGGGGCGAAGCGGCAGTCAAAAATTTTTAATGCTGACGAGCGAGATGAGCAATCAAGTGGTGATGGAGGAAGATCTAAGGTATTAATAATTCAAGTCAATTTACTTAATAAAAATCATATTTTAATACAAGAAAATATTGAAAGAGATTTTCCAAAACTTTTTAAAAATATGTGAAATTTATTTTTGTTTCTAAATGATTCAATTTAGGAAGTATTAAACATTTTCAACTTTGAAAAAACGGCCTTTTTAACTTTTTAATATTATTATTTTATTATAGAAATAAAATTATACTGCCAACAAGTCTGTCAAAATTTGCAAATTTTAAAAGAAAAATATCTTTCAGTGTTGCGGTGCGACTTCCACAGAGCTTACTTGAGCGGAAAAACATTTCTACAAGGCTGGTGGTTGCCGTATTCCGAGATGCGAGGTCTCTTTTCAGCGATAAATTTACCACAACGAGCGTCGTCAATGCTAATCTTGGCGGGGATCATTACAAGAATCTAGACGAGCCGGTCATCATTTGGTTCAAGAGGAATGCAATCCACGCACCAAGTATGCAATATTAATAAATGCGGAATAAATCAATTTAATTTTATATTAAAAAAAAATAATAATTATGAAAAAAATTCCTTTTCTACCACTTTTTCTTGTTAAATAATCTGATTTAGTTAAAAAACGCAATAATTTTAATCCTTGATATTATAGATTTTTAAAGGCACTATAGCTCGTAAAAATGAGAGCTATTTTTAACTCTTAAATATAAATAACAAGTGCCATTAACAACATCAATGAAAGTAAAATTTAAGTTGATAAAAACTTTAAATATATAAAAAATAAATATATATCAGAAATTAAAAAAATTAATTAAAATCAAACAAAATTAATTAGAATTGTGTTTCACATTTACGGTGTATTTTTTTAAGGCGAGTAAAATAATTAAAAATCTATTCAGATCCTGGCACCTGTGTATTCTGGGACTTCGCCTTGAACGACGGCAAAGGGAATTGGTCCACCGAAGGATGTTTCATGAACGCAACGCACCACCTGGACGACTTGACGGAGATAGACGAGTGCCACTGCTCGCACATGACGCATTTCGGTGAAATCTTGTGGAACTCCGACCATGACTTTGCCTCGCCCGAACTTGACCTCATCAGCACCATCGGCTGCTTTGTTTCACTAGCAGGACTGGTCGCCGTTTTCTTGACGGCGGCCATTTCGCCGAAACTGCTGCGAGGCATCGGCCAGAAGATCCTTTTCCAAATGGCCATCAGTGCCACCCTGCTGACCACCCTGTTTCTGGTGATCAGCAACCTGGACGTGGACAGACTGGACAGGTTCGTCTGTTTCTTCCTCGGCTTTTTCCTGCACTACGCAATTCTGACCAACTTCTTTTGGATGCTGGTCGCCGCCTACCTGCAGTACAACCGCCTGGTCAAGGTCATCTACAGCCGGACACCCAAACTTCTGCTCAAGGCGACCATCGTCGGCTGGGGCCTCCCTGTCATCCCCGGCGCTCTGGTGCTCGTCACCTTGCAACACGACGTCTACAAACAACCTCCTCTGTGTCTGCCAAACGGCCTGGCCTTCTACCTGACCATCGTGTCTCCCCTGGCGGTCATCCTGACCCTCAACTTCATCGTCTTTGCCCTGATCATCAAGAATGTGTACATCATGTCAGAAAACGAGCCGAGGAAACACGCAAACCAGTGTCTGTCCATCCACCGATTTAAGCAGATTGCGTTTCTCTTTGCCCTGCTCGGACTCAGCTGGACCTTCGGCCTCTGTCAGGTCGCATTTCCCGAGTGGAGATTCTTCTTCGCCTGTCTCTTCTGCTTCACCGTCGCCTTCCAAGGCCTCACCTACTTTTTCCTATTTGTCGTGATGCATGAAAAGGCGCGAGGAACTTGGAGGACCGTGTTCTGCGGCGGCCGCATGCTCTTCCGAATGGAATGGGGCAGCATGGTTGAGAACAACAGCGTTGCCTCCACGGCCACCAAAATGACAGACATGAGACGCAGGAGTCACAATCGTCACTCAATTTTGCCGCAAATGAAAATTTAATACGTATTCTTATTACTCATTGTAAGAAAAGAAAAATGAAAGATATAAATTATTTCATAAGTAAAAATAGATGTGATTTTTTGTTTTAATTTACAGAAGAAATGCTTTGTAAATAAACACATATTTTTCTAGGAATAAATTATTATGTAGTAAATATTATATTATTATTAATTTTGTGAATAAAATGACACTTTATATCAAATGGAGAATATTTGTTTCCGCAAAATCATCTGAATAGCTAATTTTAAAATTAAGATTGAAAAATTTTTTTATATTCCAAAATTATAAAAATATTTGGTGAAAACACAAACAAATTTAAAATATCTTTTAAATTTGTTTATTTTAAATTTGTTTCTATGCGAAATTTTGTCTGGTAAGACAACAAAATTTGGAAAGTTAAATTGCATTATATTTCTTCCCAAGTATGTAATTGATAGTTATAAACTTAGAATTAAGTTATTTACTCTCCAATCTTGATACTGTTGAATTATTAATATTTTTAATTGTAAGACGAAGAAAATTATTGTTTAAATTAAACTTCTAATTTCGTCCAACATCTGGTATATTTATGACTTATAGAAAATTCTTGCAAATTAAGTAATTTTTATTGCTAGTCTCTCAAGGAAATGAATTCGCATTGCCTAGCAAGCAAAACTAATCACCGGCAGAATTGGAAACCGACCAAGCGTGAGTAACCATGCAAAGCAGCGAACAAAGAAAGGAAATTGTTATTTTTTTCTCACCACTGTCGATGGTCCTTGGCAACAGCGTGTAGCCGTCGGGGGGCACCTCTTTATCGTTGACCACGGCTATCGCCTCGACAATGTAGTCGGACAAGCCGGGCAGGCCCTGTTTCTTGGAGAGGCACAGGTAGCGCGTCACTTTGCGCCCGAAGAAGCCATCCTTCCAAAGGTCGGCGTCCGAGTCCTGGTCGTGCGTGCGCGAAACCTTGCGAAAAAGAAATAAACAAACTCTGTTTATTTGGTTTTCAGTGATGGGAAACATAACAAAGGGCAAAAAGTATTTGTTTAGTCGGGTTGTTTTACGGAATTGAAGGCACGCCTGTGGTCTCGACCGCAAACCAAACAAACGATGGTGAAATCAAAGTGAGAGATGCATTGTTTCATGTTGACACTTTGGAGTTTAATTTCATCAATTATGTTCAGCGACCTTGACGTCAAGTGTTTGTTGATTTGGCGTGAAGTTTTAAATTGCTTTTTGTTTTTAATTTCCAATACTTGCTTGCAAAATTTACAAAAAAAAATCTATCAAATTAAATTTTATCAACCACTTGTTTCATAGGTGCAACGTAGAGCTAATTGTAAGTTTTTCAATCTTATCAAATAAGATAAAATTTTTAACTGGACGCTTGTTAATTTGCCGCAGGACCCTTCTTGGTCAGTCAAAGTTAGAGATAATGTTTTTCCTCAATCTAATAGCCACTGTCCTCTTTTTCCAGGTACGATTGATGTTCAAATTTAATGTAAAACAATTTAATTGATTTTTAAGGAAACAAAAATTTGCTAAGCTATAAGAATTATAAACGAATTATTTGAGCAATTAAATTAATATTTTACAATATTTTATAACAAGAGCATTTTAAACGGAGCAATGCTTTATATTCTGCGGCTCCGTTTCTGCTCCAATGCGCACTCATTTCACTTTCTTTGCCATTGAAAATGTTGAAAAATTAAATAAAAAATTGCAGCTGTCAATTTCTGGAGTGAAATGTGGCCAGTATGTGACGATAAACGAAACTCTTTACTTCTTGGAAGGCTCGAATTTGGTTCGAATTAATTTTTTGCCATACGCAAGGAATAAATTAAAGAAGAGAACTTCACACACAGGCCAACTGGTATGAGGCAAACACTGAATGTCTGATGAATGAGATGACTTTGTTATCACTCGAGACCAGGATAGAAAATGAAAATGTGATGAACTGGTTAAACTCAACAGGTTTGAAAAAAAAATTAAAACATTTGTTGTTTATGATACAATTGACCGACTTAACAAAAATTCAGTTTTTTTAACTTATCAGCTTTAATTATACTACCTGATAAAAAAATCATTTCTCTAGAGTTTTACAACACTTGGATTTGGTCTGGAGGAATTCGAAGAGAAAATGAAAATGAGTGGAATTGGAACAAAAACACTGACAATATAACCATGACTTATACAAACTGGGGACCAAATCAACCGAATGTGATACAGTCGGAAGAATCATGCATGAACTTTGCTGCCGAGTATGGGAAGTGGGATGACGATCAGTGCAACGATTATTCTCAGGCCTTCATGTGTGAAAGAAATAATACTGAAGTAACTACAGAGGGTGGTACAACCACTACAACCCAGGGTTCAACAGAAGGAACACCAGGAGCAACAACAACAATACCAGGAAACACAACAACAACACCAAGACCAACAACAACAACACCAGGAGCAACCACAACAACAAGAGCAACTACAACAACAGTAGTTGCAACTTGATTGAACAAATTATACATTTTCCAGTCATATGTTATGTTGTTTAAAAAAATTATAATGGATTAAATTTACGCAAAATTGAATTTAAATTGACAAATATTTTTAAGAAATAAAATATTTGAAAATTATTAATGAAGCTGCATATTTTTTTACGCTGTATAGTTGCATTAAAAAATTAAAATACAAATTACGTCTCCATTAAATCCGTATGCTTAATAATATTAAAATTATAATTTACCACATAAAAGTCTGGTGGGCATTTTTCCGCATCTTCGACGACCCCGATGGAGGTGATGGGTCGGTCGTCGGGCAGGCCGCTGTACAGGCTTTTGAGGTCCATCAGGTTGAGCATAGGCGACCTGCGGATGTTGAAGTAGTTGCCTACATTATTGATATTGCGGTACACCAGCATGATTAAAAATATAGGTTGAGCTTCGGCTGGGCCGAGGCGCAGGGAGCGACTGCTGTGCTGGTGCAATATAATATTTTTTGTTTTCTTTTAATTCTTGACACTTACATTCACCTGTCGCGCGTTTTGCGTTCGTCGGCCTTGGCGTCGAATCGGTGCTCTCGCGTGTAGCCGAATTATTATTGAGAAGAAGGTTGCTGGCCGAGCATGAAGGGCCAAGGACGGCGCCTAACAGCCGAATTCCGCGCCGACCGCGCCCGTCCAGCGCATCTTCGGGGCCGCCGCTCTCGCCCAATCGGCCCGAAAACTTGCGTGCCCGCGAAAATGCCAAAGTTCGGGCCGACGAGCTCCTCGATCTCAGCAAGTCACGGCTGCGGAAATAAATAACGCGACAAATACAAACACCATTCAGTGTGCATGTAATCTCTCAGCCGTTTAGTTTGAGCTGTCAATGGCAGATGGCGCGAATGATGTCTAATAGAAATTGCTTATAAAAAACTTTTTAATTCTCCATTAAACTCTGCTGAAATGCGACAAAACCAATTTTTAATAATTTAAAAACTATAATAAAATTTATTTTTCAATAAAATAGCATTATTTTCATCACCAATAGTCTCTAAAACATTTTTAAACAAATTTTACATTAAATAATTTTTTATAAAACAAATTTGCCCTCTAGTGGTGTTAATTTCAACTAAACATAATTGCCAGCTGTTCGCCCGCGACAATTCCAATAAGTAAACAAAATCCCATGCTTCCTTTGGCTCGGTTTCTGACACCCTTGAAGTTCTACCCTTCGGCAGTCCTACTTTTACCCGTCGTTGGTCAGTATTTTGCCCTAACAATTTTTTACCGTTTGAAAATGATTGAGATCTCCTGCTTTCAAACGCCGTTCGTTAGTTTCCATTTTCTATTATTTTTCAGCCGGCTTGAGTAGCATGGCCAGCGAAGCTTTTGTCAACCTTCCTGAGGTCGACATCGACCCTGACGGCAGGTTCAAATACATCCTGATCAGGGCAACCGACGCCAAGACCAACGAGCAGAAGATGATCGTCCGCGGCTACAAATGGGCCAATTTTCACGGTAGGAAACACTTCTATAAATATCTAAAATAAATTTCTAGAATTTACATTTTTTTTTAATACTTTAAATTGAACCTAAATTACTAAAATCGGTACTAGTCAAGATTATAAAACAAGTTCCACGAAAAAAAAAATAATAATAAAAAAATTAAAAACAGAATAATTAAAAACTCTCCGTAACAGGAAATAATAACAAAAGGGGAAGAGGGCTTGATAACAATAGTTATAGTTATCTTGCAGAGGCTTGGCACACAAAACCTGAGTCATTTTCTTGTGAACTCTTTTGGGTCACAAGAAGAAACTTGAAAAAAAAAATGCTTTTGAAAATATTAAATTAAAAATCTTTACAAAATTATTGTAAAAAATTTTGTGATGAAGAAAAGTTTGGAATTTTTATAATTTCATAAATACTTTTATTTATATCAGAAACGACTTGATCACAATCGAGTAACAAAATACACGCAGCTCAGGGTTTACATTATTATACTTTTATGAGGGGTGCACTCGCCTTCTTCTTTTTATGTCATACATTCACGGTTGACAAGGTTTTGACAAATAGACACACCACTTTTACTCTCAGGACAGTCATTTTGCACCACACGAGAAATCAAAATTTGAGTTATGTATTTTTGATTCGTCGCTATTACAATTACGGGACACATTATAAGAGGAGAAAATCAGATGATCCACTAATAAAGACACTTAATTTACAATTCTTAAAAAAAAAAAAACGATTAGAGTTCAAAAGTTGAGATCACCGCACTTTTTGTTCCAAATAACTGTCTTCTGGTGATTTTTGCGAAGAATAGTTTTTATAAGTTCGCAAGCAATCTGAGGAGGCTAAAGCGAATTTTCACCAAACACTGAAAACAAGCTGTTTGAATTTTATGTGATGTAAAAAATATTCCATCGGATTATCTTTTGCTCTGGGCTCATCCAGTTTCCTGCATTCTCCGGTAATTAATTGACGTGATTTAATTTTCAATAGTTTCTGAAAATTTCATTTTTTTACACTGACATACGAATTACAACAATTTTATCAACAATCCAGCAGCAGCGACGCTTTTCCCGAATTCTATAGATTTGTATGCAGTACAAAAGGCTGGAAAATCGATTTTAGTCTACATACTGTTTTACATTTACATAGTTTCACTTTTATGATGTATTTACCGACACTGAAACAAGCGTATTTTCGTGAGGAGACATGTACATTTTATGACACACTAAAATTTTTAAGCCATCGATTTCAATTCCACGCGCGCAACAACGTTTCGTACAAACCATTTCTTTTATCTGCCCGATCTTTAGTACTTGCTCCAAAAACCCCTTTTGTCTTATCGTTCTCATTTGGCAAATTTATAGACATTGAATTAGTTGAAATTTCAAAGTACTACAAATACAAGATAGTTTTTTTTTTATTTATCTGAAAAATTAGAAAACTGAAGTGAATTTAAAAACAAAATACAATATAAACGACGTTTTAAACAGTTTTCTATTTAATTGAAAATATTTTTAGGTGTCTGTAGGTATTAATTATCAAATATATTAATTTAGCATTATTTATTTAATATAAATAAATGGACAGTAAAAGAGAAAAGAAAAAAAAATTATGTATGCGCTATCTTAAAATTTTTGCCTTCACAATAGTAAAAAACAATTTCCATGGTGAGTGTCTTGTAAAATATTAATTAATTAGAATTAAAGTCATTATAGATGTTCAATTTTGCTTAATTATTTTGGAATAAATAAAAATTACCAGAAACTTTAATAATTTATTAATTTAGATTTATTACAAATAGATAATTGAATTTAACTTAAAAATTAATATGAAATATGAACCTCAAGCGGCATTTAATAAGAAGCTAAAATATCTGATCCAAGTTTAGAAATGGGCAAAATATAAAAAGACTAGAGACATACTAGACGGAAACGAAGAACAATATTCTTCACACAAAGCTGCCACAAATTCTTTGTCATAGAGAGCAACAATACAAACTGTCTCATTATTTAGCACGGTAACCGCAAACATTCACCATAGTTACTCCTCGAGACCAACAACACCCCGGCGGTCAGTACAGGACGTGTAAATATAAATAAGCGTGTGAGTGCTTTTTCGAATCCCAAATTTCAAATTTTAGTGTTCACTTGTGACCAAAATTCAATCTTAAATAATTTTCATTTTGCCGTGTAAGTCAACAAATAGATAAAATTTAAAATTCAAACATGATAATTACTGAAGGTGAGGATAAGAAAGTCTCATTTCCAGTGACTTTTGCACCACTAGGCATGTGTTTGTTAAGTTTTGGAATTTGTTTTCTTCAATTTTTATTTTCTTTCTTTGGGCATCACTTGAATCAAAATATCTGGAAATATTAAATGAATTAGTATAATTTTTTTTCCTTATTAGAAAATGTCAAAGTTCCTTTAAAATATAAGTGTCATTTATAATAGATAATGAAAATTCCAATCAATTATTTTATGCCAAAGAAAATGTGATGATTAGATCCATTTTTGTGGAGAACATGAATTAAAATTATCAAAAATCTTGTGATTTGGAAGTATTTTCAGTGTCAAAGTGTTTGGGAACTTAACTTTTCTAAAACAAAATTTTTGTTTCATTAAAAAAAATGATATACCAACTTAATTTTCAACAAAATGAAAATCGGATTTCAGATTTAATTTTTGGTCATAACAAAGGGGAGGGGGTGACCTCAGCAGTTGGTCTCGCCGCCGGGCTCGATGGTGTCGACGCCAACGGCGGTGGCGCCGATTTTGGCGGGGCGTTCTGGCGGCGCCCGTCGCGGCGCCTCGTCGCTGGACGGCGCCTCGATGGTGGGGGGCGGGAGCGGAGGTGGTTCGGGGGGCATGACCTCGCCCATGTCCTTCTCCTCGGTGGGCAGCAGGGTGAAGGGCAGCTTGACGCTGACCTCGGAGTTCATGGCGCCGACGATCAGCTTGACCTTGCAATAGTAGGTCACGAAAATGGCGAACACGTTTCGCTCCGAGTCGTTGGTGGGCGCGTTGGCGGCGGCGCCGCCCGCCGCCTGGCACCGCGTCACCGTCGACGCCAAACTCGCGCCCGACTTGGTGTACGAGTCCTCGAGGGCGATCCAGTTCTTGGTCGAGCCCTTGGTCGGAAACAGGGTGTACGAGTGGCGCACGCTCGACCCAGGGTTCAGCGGACAGTCCTGCCGGCTGTTCACGGCGGCCACCACGTTTTTGAACTTGCCGTTCGAGAACATGCACACGTCCACGTGTTGAACGATGAAAATCTGAAAAGAAAGAAACTTTAGTCATATTCAAGAGGTTACTTGACAAATAGTTTAAATTGTCAAAATTAAAGTTGATTTTTTAAAAAAAATATAAACTCAATTTGGGATTTTACAGATTTTGAAGACAAAAATTTGGATTAGTGAATTCTGTTAAAATAGGTTTTTTTTATCAGTGATTCATGTTGAACGTTAAATTCTTGCACCTCTTGTATTTTATTCCAAATTTTTAGAGTTGATTAATTAAAATTCGAGACTAGCTTTAGATAAAAATTTTTATAAACTATGCTTTTGTAAAAGTAAAAGTGATTTATTTTTCGATTTGCGTGAGAACACATTAGTCAGTGAGCCGATTTCTAATTCTACCCACACAATTCATCAAAATATAAAATACAAGGATAAAATTTTTTTCCAACAAGAATGAGTTATTTCTCATTTTTAACTTTAAAAGTGCAACAAATTTTATTGATTTATCTTCAACTACGTTGCCTCTATTCAGTGATATTTTTCACGTTGAAAAGTGTTGTCAAGCGTATAAACATATTGACAGAACGCAAATTAATTCCACTGTATGAACGAATGGACCTGTTACGTTTGCCTCTGCTTTTCCCTTCCATGCTTCTATAGGGAAATTTACACGCCTTTGTTACTTCGATCAGTGAGCGTGGGAAGAGAGCAAAGAAAATAAATCAACAGAATGGGAGAAATGCTTGTTAATTCAAACTGGCATGAATAAAAGATAGCGCATTACGCTCTGATACGTTTTGCTGCGCAACACATTTAGACATCAACTTCATTTTTCCCCTTAATGAATTTTTATTTCATTTAACGTTACAAAAGCTAGGACGGGGTAATTTTAATTCAACTATATGTTTAAGTCTTTTTCTGCAAGAGATTATTTCTGAAACACACCATGCAATTTTATTCCTTTTGGAAATTTCAAATACAATTTAATTTTGAGCCAAATAGATAATTACAAATGATTCTTTATTTATATATATTTCCTTCTTTTAGTGAAAATTTCAATTTAAAATTTTTATAACAAAAAGTTTGAGATTACTCGCTTTGCCGTTGATCGCTGTATATTGTAACTTCATCTTTTGACTACAAAACTAAGTTAAATTGCTTCTTTTAACATAAATTGTTCTATATGTAGGCACAAAAAAGTGTTCAAAACCATTTAAAGAATCTCGCAAAGTGCCACTTATTTAATAAACTTAAAAAAAACCTACATTTCAAGGAAAACTTTACAGATTATTTTTCTATCATTATTCAAAACTAAAATTTTATTGAAAATAAAAAATAATACACAACTCACTCCCTTCTCCTTAAAGTGGATTATGAATTTGGTTTTTAAAACTTTCTTGATACGAAAAATTCTCATCATCAAAAGAACAGTTGAAGACGTGGCAAATCGACCGAATGTGCAGAAAAACGAAGCACAAAGAAAAGATGCGCATCAATAAATTCAATTTTCCTCTTTGGGGCGCAACAAATTTCAATTTGGCGTCGAGAGGCTCATCCCCTGCAGGAAATTTACTTAGCAAGTGTGCTGGATGAAGGGAAAAAAATCATAGAGGGGCAGAAGAGGCAATTTCCTGCGTGCGAATCGATTGCATTCTTAAATAAAAAATGTCACTCGCCTTGATTCGTCGCACCGTCTTCCTGCTCTGGTTGAAGATGGACAGTTTGACGTGCACCGGCTCCCCCTGGCGGTAGTGGGCCCGGTCCAGCACGGCCTCGAGGCGCACGCGGCCGTCGCTCAGCATGAACGGCTTCTCGATTGCGGCCCTCGGCGGCGACCCCGAGCCCCGGTGACCCACCCCCACCGGACACCGCTGCAGCACCCGGATCCCCATGCGCACCGTGCACCGCCGGTGCGGCTTCTCCTCCGGCCGGTCCGCTGTTGGCAAAATTTTTCATCAATATCTATCCAAAAGTAAAACAACTAACAAAAATCCAAATATTATAAAATTTTGTTTGTTCTTTGTTTCCTTTAATTGGGACTTTTAAAATTACTCCTTTCTTTTTCTTTTATTCACTCTAAAATCAGTTAATTATATAAATTTATTGTATTATATTTAATGAAACTATTAAATTTATGCGATTTTATTATAAGCCTATTTTCAGATTTTTCAACTATAGCAGACTTTTCAGTAAATTTGGAAATTCGGAATTTATTCCACCTTCATATGTTGTTAGTTGTTACTTGTCCGTAATAGAAAGAAATCATGTTTAATAAAATGAAGATTATATTTTTTAGGGTACAGATTTTTTAATAAATTTTATCGTCGCTTTTGTTTGATAGTTTTTCCTGGTCACAGAAGTTTTTGTGGATTTTTATCTCAACAAACGGGTAATTAATGACAGTGAAACCGGCATGTGAAAAATTTGTTCAAATTTAATTGGTCATTTTGTGTGTAAAATAACAAATTTTTATGAAAACATCACATTTTCCTTGATGAAGCTTTCGGCTATTAAATATTTATAGCTAATTATTATTTAACTTTATATCCTAAGTCAAACAGGTGTTTTCGAAGCGAAGTAAATAAATTAATGTGGAACCAAAGTCCTATGGCCTAAAAAGCTGTGCTGTAAAGCACTCGTTTTGCAAGGCTTTTGCAAATTAATTAAGAGTATCAAAAGTTACGCAAGCATCAATTTGAATTTGAGCGATCACAGTTCGCTGGTATAGCAAAAAGAAGAGAGAGAGCCCCGGTAAGAAGATTACGTGTTTCCGTGAATGCGAATTTTGAAACGGACCTGTCCATCTTTTTCGTGATAATGTTCGTTTGTTTAGTTTGATGAAACACTGAATTGACGCATTCATCGCTCTGAAAAAAAGAGGAATGTGTTGTTGGCCAACCAAATTGAATATAATAACTGATCCGCTGTAAATTTTTTTATGCTTTAGATTTACAGGAAAAGCACTTGTTTGAAAATATCCAGCCAAGAAAATAAAGAATACATAATTATTTTTATTACTTTATTTCAAATATTGAAGGATAACAATTTAAACAATAATTTCTAAAATATATTTAACTATATTTTAATCAATTTAGTTCATATACTAGGGTTAAAATGGACATTTTACTATTTTTAATTTATTTCAAATTAAATTTTTACTTTTTAAATACAATTTTAATTATTGTTTTTAATTTTTTAATCAAATGGAACACCAATAAATGTAATAAACAAGGCTTTTTGCTTATTAGTGAGTCTCTCAGTGTAACTGTGAGTTGTAAAATGACTAATTTAATGCACAATAATCAATTCATAAATTTATTTTGACTTGGAACTATTTTTTAAGGGACAGCGTTTGCTTCAAATATTTATTGTTTATTTTAAAGTGATGCCTCCATAACAAAAATATATTTCATTGAACTCCAACCCTAACCGATTTTTTCATTTCTTTCCATTCCTGTTCACAAGAGATATATTAATCTCGACTTGCATGCAAAAGAAACTCGCTTTCAATCAATACGCAAGCAAAAAATCTGTCTACATATTTCTTGCGACTTCTTGAATATATCATGAATTGCTTTACTCATTGAAAAGAGTGGCGGTCTCACCGAATCTCAATATCACAAAAGAGGAAAATTTCCAGTCGGCGGCTCCTTTGTTGTGCCGGTCACTAGAATGCTATGTGCAAAATCGCATATACGCGTATTTCCTTTCCTTTTTCTGGAGGCGCGGCCCTGCGAGGCGGAAGTAATTGCCGCCCTACCCAGAATTGATCCGTCGAAAGATTGGCTTTGTGCCGTGCAAGTTTCTTGCACACAGTTGTGCCCCAGGGGATAATGAATGAATCGGGGCCGGCCGCTTAATTAAATTGGCCGCCCAAAGTTTGCGGAATGCCGGTTGTCGAACTTCTTCAGTTTGTCAAGTGATATCAAAAGTTTTGGTCTTCTTTGAGATCAGATCAAACATAACAACTTTGAATTCTGCAAAAGCGGAGAGTTAATAAAAATCTAGGCGTTGTTTTGTAAAAGGATCAATATATTAATTAAAAACTAAATTGAATATCATCAAAATTCAAAAATCAAAAATAATATTTCAAAGCTGGAATAACGTTTGAAATTTTTGGTGAAAGGTCAGCTTAAATCTGGCTAGTCTTTGGTTTTGTTGAATATTAAATGCAAAAAACACTCTAAAAATTATTCAAATATCTCACTTATCTAGAATTATAATTTATATAAATTAATAAAAAACGACGCCAAAAAAGTGAAAAAAATTTAAAAATCTAAGACGTTTGTGAAAAGATACGTTTTTGCCAAATTTAAAATATGTTTTTTTTTTTCATTAATTAGATTACTTTTTACTTTAGAGATAAATTTATTTGACTTTTATAAAACTAACGAACTGACCACTCTAGCCGTCTCTCAACTACTCTACTTAAAATTAAATATTAATCCCGCTTCATCTGGCAATAGTGCAAACGCGCCTTCACTTTTTTGTCTATTGACCTAATCAGTTATAATAATTGGCTCAATGAAATCAAATATGAATGAAATAAGTCCGAATATCGCAACTCTGTTTTATGTCGAGGCCAATAGAAAAAAGCATCAGTCGCGATGAGGAGATCGATGGAGCAATTTGAACGGCACTATTTGCGTCGTGTGGGTGTCCGGCAGCTCAACCCTTATGCAACGCGGGTGTAAATAATAAATAGACGAAGGTAAAAGCCGCACGTTCTTGGGCAGGTGTCACGTCGAATTGCAACAACTCACCGACAAAGGCTCTAACGTCATAGCTGGTGCCGATGGGGGCCCCGTTGTATTCCTTGGCGGGCACTAGTTGAACACTGGGTGGTGCGATCGGCGTCACTTCGAGGCAAAACGGATATGCATTGGGACCCAGTCTTTTCACTAACGCCTCCTGCGAAAATAGAGAAAATTATTTTTGTAAACCTTATTTACCTCTGAGAGATGATTTTAATTGCGTATATATTGCTTTATATTAAGTTCAGCAATAATGTCGTGTTCAAATTTCAAATTAAGGAAGTTTTCAATAGGTCAAATTTGAAAAAGATATTCCTTATATTGATTATAATAATTTTTGTCTCTTGATGATACCAGAAGCATGATAACTTCAAATCACACAAAAAACTCGGCCGAGAAATCAACCATCTAACAATAAGATGTTTTTATATTGTATTATAACAAATTTGCTCATAAATTATTGATTTTTGTTTTGAAAACTTCTCAATACATAAAAATAAACCCACATGCAACTATTTTTGAGTTATAAATACAGTTTCCTTCACAATTAAATCGCAGTTTTAATTATGCTTTGTAAAACATTTCAAATTTACACAAAATATTTATTATTACTATTACGATTGACAATTTAACAAGAATCCGCAAATCTGTAATTAGTTTTATTACTTGTAATTAATTTTCTGAACACAACTCAAAAATAAAATATTTAAAAAATAAAATAAATTTATTTAAAAAAAAAATATCCATAGAATTATTTTGAATTTTAATTTTTGCCTAGAGTGCTTACTAGAGTATTAAAAACGTAGCTCTAAATTTTTTATTGTATTCTTTATATTCTACAGTGGCTTTTGTACAATACTAGTATTTAAAACTTGATAAAATAATATCAATTATATTAATTAAATTAAATTTTTTAGTAAAGCATAAGCACGTCCTTCATCTTTTATATTGGTAACATTTTTAACTTTTTAACAATAAAATGAATTGACTCGTGCACCACTTCAGTACAATTTTCATCTTGATATTTATAAAAAAATCTCGTTTTCTTAGAATCAATTTTATTTTTACGCTGATGAACCAAAAGCGACGACAACAGCAAACAACCAATCTGCAAATTCTCATTTCGTGTTATGAATAAAAAAAATGTGTAGGAATTGATCTGCGATTTGAATGGTCTTCCCTGGCCCTGGGGGGTTGCCTATTCAATCGGAAAGGAAAACTCTGTGTAGCGGAAATTCTTGGCTGCTTCGAGGAAGGGTGTGCCCGTTGGGTAAACAACGAAATCAAGCGGGAGCGCCGAAAGAAGGGCATTATTAAAAAAAAAAGCGAGAGATGTTTCTCCCGAGGGACGCTCTCAACGAAATGTGCTGTCTAATGTTGGCCAAGGTATTATTTCGCGTTGCATCCATCGCTGATGGGGAGGTTCGATCGCAAGAAGCGGCGCCCGAGAGCCCCTGAATGGCGAATTAGGGCTGCCTTGCGAGCCGCATCAAGAGCAACCACTTATTGATTTCTTCTTTCGCCCTCAGTCGTCATTATTTCCCTTTCTGGTGAAACGACTTCCGCATAAATACTAGGTGTGATTATCGGTTATGGGAATTTCCAATCAAACATTAAACAATTCATTAACTGGAAAAAAATGTCCTCCAAGAAAATATTGTCAAATCAATTTTTATTTTGCATAACAATAATAGGGAAAATTAAAATCCGTAAAAAATTTATGACATTAAAATGAATGCCAATTTAATCTAAATATTTAAAAATATAGTCAAACGGGTTTCCATTGTAAGTACGTACAACAAAGTCGTGTGCACATATTTGGAATCGGAAAGCTAAGATTGCCACAATGAATAAACAAAAAAATGATTTCCATCGCTAGTCTATTAATAAAGACGATTTTATTGAATTATAAATTAATAGGGAAAATAATCATCAAATTTGGTATTTCTGACAATGAGGCTTGGAAATTTTCTTTGTTCTACAGCAAAATTATTTGAAAACTTGCCTTTAAATATTTTTTCATAGTTGTTAAAAAATAAATTTTACTGCAATTATTTTTACTATATATTCTTCTCGATCAATAAAGACAATTTTGTAATTTGAAAAGAGAAGAAAGGGTTTTAAACTACAGAAGATGTCTGCTAAAACGTCCGATATAACAAAAGAGACTCGGCCCATACGCAAAACCCATTAAAATTCATAGAAATAAGCAGAAATAAGTAATATTTCATCGTGTGACTGCATTACTATAGATTTCAGGTTGCGATTGTGTTTCGTTTCACCTGCTAGGAAACGGATGTTGTTATTGATCGTTCGAATATGCATGAGTCAGATTTTTATGTATGTATTTATTGCTGCGTCTGCTGATGAGAGAGGGTTTGTCTTTTGATAAACAACGCAGTCATTTTCGCGAGTGATTGTGCTGGATTCACTCTCTGTGTATTTGCGAACGTGACGTCACGTGACATGCACTTGAACGCCGGCCGCTTTTATCACCGCGATTCGGTGTCATCCCCTACTTGAACCGTGCAGGATGCGGTGCTTTTGGATGGTGTTTGTTTTGTTGGGTGGATGCAAAGTGTGCTTCACAAACAAAAACGAAAACAAACAAACGTACACAAAAATTGAAGTTGATTCTTTCCAATTGTTTGCAAACGTGTATTGAAAAATGAGAATAGCTCTCACAGTCAAATTTAACATTTTAATTGTTTTATTATTTCTTTAAATATGGGTATCACTACAGGTTGTGTAACATTGTTAGCCCAAAAATTAAATTATTACTTTACATTAATAAGATACAATCTGTTTAAAGAATTGTCCCAGAAAGAAAATAGAAATACATTTCTGATCATAAGAATAAGTAAAAAAAAAAAATTTAATTGCTCTTTGCAGTTTCCATGAATATGAAAAATTTACTTTTCATTTATTCAAGCGTTTTGCCGCGTTCTATCGGTTTGAAATGTTGGCAGAATTCGATCAGCCAGAATTGTTCGTGTTTACCGGTGAATGATTTGATTTTGTGCTGACTGAGGTATATAATTAATTCTGCGATTCAAATTGCAAATCACGCCGTGTTTGTTTTGTGTTGCGCCCTGTTTATTGATTGCAACAACATATAAATGCTCTCGCAAAGATAATGCGAACATGATGCGCATTAGTATCAAATGTCAGCAAGGCTGAAATCAAGCTTTGAGCCGATAAAAGCTCTGCTTTCGGAACGTAATGTCAGTACAAATAGTCGTCAAATAGTGCGCATTGTTTTAGATAAACAAGCTTTAAGCAGCTCCGGGCGCAAAACCACATAATTGGAGATCAACTTGCTCTCAAAGGAAAAACACGTCTGGAATTTAACAAAAAGCGAGTAAATGAATATTTACCTTTTTGTAAATACACTAAAAGCAAATTTCAATAAATCAAAATAATATTAGCTGTATGACGAATCATACATATTGCTAAGTGAGGGGTGGTGAGGGGAAATATGTTGTTTATGTAAGCAAACTTAGACCCTATTAATATTTATAACTAAAGTAATATCAATTAAAATCAAATATAAAACAACAACAGAAGATAATATTCATGAATCATTGAAATTTATTAAGTTAGTGATAACCAATGATAATAAAGAAGTACGTAACTCCCATTCTCGCAAATCAAAACTTAAAAATGAATTGTTAAAAGTAAATGAAAATAATAAATATTAAATTTTTCAGAATTTCTTCCTCTACACCCACAGTAAAGAACACAATCAGAGTAAACATTTTAGGGTAGTCGCAAGAAATACAATTTTTTTTTTTTAATTCACTTTAATTAATTGCAGATACAAATTATAAATTTAATCTAATTAATTAAAAATTTGTTGCTTGGGTTTGTCTAAATCCTTGTGCAAAGTTGTTATAATTTAAGTAAACCTCTCTGACGTTCTACTCAAATATGTATTGAGAAAAAAAACACCTGTCACCAAGCAACGTCATCAAGTGTCACATAATATGAAATTCATTTTATTGATAATGAGTAGAAATAATATCATTGAGAGAGTAGCACTTGAGCTCGAATTAATTTAAATTAAGGAAAGTGCTTATTTTTGCAACGCAAGTTCAGTCATGCTGAAGGAAGGTGAAATGAGCAATCCGAAAAGCCACTTGATTTTTCACTCAAATATAATTTGATTTCAGTTCTTTGATTTCACATGGTATCAATATCAACTCTTTGAATGAATTGAGCAGATAAATTAATTTGAACTGCGTGCTTCTAAATTTGCTCTAGAAATCAATGCACAAGCAACTAGAAATAGCTACTAAATTTTTAATACCAAAATCATGGGATTTCCTTTGATGAAAAGATGGAAACACATTTCAGCTGAACATTTTCATCAGATATTTCCTCAATCTTTTCAACCAGGTGGAAAATGAAATGAACCAGCTTAAGACTTTTTACAATTCAATAGTTTCTTTTAGAAATTGTTCGAGAAACCGTTATTGCTTTTTCAATCTCAAACGAGATTATATAGTGATTGAGTTTCCAAGAAAATTCGGCATTTTTATCATCCACCATAATTGCATTTTCACCGTTTATTTTTCGCAGGCGCTTTAATACTGCGCCGCTCGTCGCGAAGGTCGCGCGGGAAGCATATCCAAAACAAACACGGTTAATTAAATGGAAATGATCAAATCCGCTGCTCAACGTGATCTCACCTGCGTGCGTCACTTTAGGCGCCGATGTTTTCAAAATGAATTTTGCTCTGCAGAGAAGAGCGAGAGAGTTAATCTTTCTTCAGCGAGCAGAGGCCGGATTAGGCGGTTGTTTGCACAACAAACAAACTCGGCTCGGTTACGACCCGGGCCCGCGCCGAGGGCAACTTAATTAGCGAGGCTTATCATTTACACTCACCTGCAGCGGAGTAATTTCTTGAGCGAGTTTGTCGGGCGATGTGGGCCCAGGATACAGCCTGCTCAGAGACATGACGGCTTCGTTGCAGAAACGCAATCCCATCACCTCCTCGTCTTCGCGGCCGTACCTGAAGGTTAGGGTCACCTGGCCATAAACCTGCCACACAAAAATAAAATATAAATTTTGTTAAGAAATTCGATCAATTTGGATATTTCTTTTATTTCTTTTGTAAAATATCAGTAAATTATCTAATCCTATTAAATGAGATTAATAAGCGATTGTTTTGTCCAAAAATTAATTTTTTTTTGTACTTACTAATATTGCGATATTTTCTTCTCTCATAAACATTTAAGCAATTAATATTATTAGTATCTCATCTCAATAATTGACTTGAACTCTCAGCCCTACTAATAATTTTTTATATAAGATCTAATTCTATCTCTTAAGTAGACTCCCAGTGTCAAAAATGGTGAAACAATCAATTTCAGACAAAATTTAGTTAAATTATTGTATCAATTTTACAAATGAACAATTAATTTAGTAAGAAAGATAAATTGCAGTAGTACGTAATTTTTGTCCGATTGATTGAAATTATTTTTAGCCTTTTATCAAAGATTGTGAACGAAATTGAAACGAACTTACCTTTCTATCTTGAACGTAAGTGGGATCGACCAGCAGGACGCCATACAGTTTATCGACCCGCGATTCTGAAATGACCAGGTCCCTGCTGCTGAGGTAGAGCGTGATTTTGTTATTGGGTGCGCACTTCTTGAATACCCTGCGAACAAAACACGCACGTTATGTATTAATTATACGCAAGTGCAATCTCATTAAGCGACAGCTTTCATGTCTCGGTGAGAATTATTATTTCAGCCGAATGCAATTACGAGCGAGTCGGCGTTAATCTCATATTAAATTATGCCTCCATTTACGATTCATGCGAGAGAGCAGGTAGACGGATGAAGCTCCTTAGCCTTAATTGGAAAGTGCAATGGATTAATGCTGCGAGTCTCGAGTGCAGGCCTACTTTCCGCGCAATTCAGTGCAGAAAACGTGTTGCGTGTGAATTACGTCTCCTTGCCGCCCCTGACCACAGCCTGATGCAAAGAAGTAGTGTTGACCCAGATCTTTATGCAAATGGAGTTCGATACCAAAGATCGATTAGAAAAAACTCTGAGCAAAGCTGGATAGGGTCGGAAAAATCCTGAACAATCATAATGAACATTTTTTTTCACTTATTTTAACAAAAAATTTATGAAAAAATTAAAAAATTTAATGACTGAATTTAAATTTTGACGATGCCACAAATGACTAATTTATTTATGGCCAATTGATTGCGGTAATAGTTCAGAAATCACTAAACTGACTTGTTATTTATGTACCTTCTCATAAATAGAATTGAATTTGATTAATTATAGCCTAATAAATAAATAAATGATTCAGCAGGTGAATATATTAAATAAATACAGCGACAATACCATTTACTCTACGCTTGAAAATTATAATTTATTCTGGATGAAATATTCACATTTGCATTGAACGTTGCTGTGACTTATCTTTTGTTACTTTTTAAATAGGACCAAAAAGATTTTGTTTATATTTTTAGGGACAAGTAAAGAAATGAAAAATTGTTTCTCCAATTTCTGTTTAACTTTTTTTTTTTTTTACAATTTTTGAAAACATTTGCGTATTCTTTAATCAATGCAATCAGTTTTGGCTTGGACCATAGTATTTGAACCATATATTGTTTCAATGATATTACATTTTATGAAGTTTAGAGCTGAGCAATTATAGCAAGAAAATGTACAAACAAGGCGATGTGTCATTTGAAGTCGCCTTGAACTATTATTATTATTCAACCTACCTAAACATTAATAAAAATTTTATAAAACACAATCATTGAAAAAGAAAATCATTATTTTTTCATTATGAATTTCAATTTCATTTTGTACAGATGTCGGGCTTATGAAATAAAATTACAAATTTATTAATAAATAAACGTTAAAAAAAACTTATATTGTTGCAAAGACATTTTTTAAATTAAAATATTGTAAATTTTAAATAATTAAACTTGCATCAAAATTTTCAATCTTCCTTAAAAGTTATTATTGGTAGAATTAAATCTAAACGGGATTTATAATACAATTTATTCAGCGTATATACGCGATCCTCTAAAATTAAGAAAGGCATTCTTGACCTTGTCACTGTCCTCTCCTGATTCTGTTAATTAGCCTACATTTACCATGTTTTCTGCTGCCCTTTATGATCTGAATTAAGTTTTAATGAGAACTGCCGACAAAGAGTGTGTAAAACCGACACTATGTGAGTCCTTTGTCATGTGCCTTCATTTTGCCTAGTAATCATCTGACTGTATTTCTACACGTGAGTTTTAATAAGCCACAGGCTCACACCAACAGCACGGATTTCTATGTGAAAAAAATAATGATTAAAATCTCGGATTTGGCAAAAGACGCGTTGTGAGCGTAATTATTAATTGAGTGCGGAAGGCCGAAAAAGCACGTTTTTATTTTCGCTTCGTTACCCGAACAGCAAAATAATAATGAGGGCACGCGACTTCTCCAACACACACTCACGGGCGGAAAAGTCGCCGGAGGCGCGAGAGCTGTGCGCCGAGTGTTTTGCCAGGTTGTCTCCGCAGGTGCTCCGGCATTTCTGGCTTCTGACGAGAACGACCAAGAGAAAGAGAGGAGATTAAAATCCGGTGAGCTTCTTTGACGCATCTCGGAACGCTTTAAAATTTCCGTACACGTGCGATAACGCAGAGGACAGTGCGAGAAAGAAGATCAAAGAGGACCGTATTTAAAGGGTCGTTGAAAGCAGAGGTTGAGTCAGTTGATTTATTTTGATCGCTGCTCGACGACGTTGCTGTAAGAAACTGTTGGCAGGCAATCGAGTTTTATCCTCAAAGAAAACATTCATAAAGGAGAATTCTGAAGGGTTTTTTTTATCAAGAATTTAAGCAAGCCTTGAAAATATTTACTAATCAAAAATTATGGCAATTTAAAAAAAGCATAAAACTTTAATTTGCTTTTTTTAGCAAAAGCCAAACCATTAATTTAAAAAGAAGTTACAATTCAAACTTTCTTTTTAAACCTGCAGATGAAAATATGAAGTTAAAAAAAGTTTTTTTTATTCCAGGAATGTTAGTTTAGCATATTTTTATTACTTCTTTTCCAATTTTTTTTTTCTTAATAAATTACAAATTACTATTTGCAATAAAACTCTACAAAGAAAAAAAGTTGTTTCCAGTGTGAACAAAAGCAATAACAATGAATTGATGCTTTCGCATCTTAAGCAATACATTTTCCTAATTCGATTAATTTAAAATGGTTTTTTTTCTATATCTTTTTTTCATTCTTAATTAACTCTGAAAACCTTGTGCTATCTTCCTTGAGCCTTTTTGCGAGTTGATTAGCATCAGTCGCACACTGCCCCGGTTTGCTCCTCACATCACACGTCACTTCCCACATTCGACTCGTTGGCGTCTTAATCCACCCACCCTGGCAACATCAAATAACTAATTACCGTGTTCGGCGCATTTACACAAAGTGAAAGACGCGCCCCCGGGCCGCATTTATCCGATTTAGCAGGCAAACCAATTAAAAGTTGGGGCTAAACGCGTGCGGCGCCACAATTTTTTCAATATTGCGTCAAAGGGACGCCCCGGGGCAGTTGGATTAGCGGCGACACAGGAACTCTTTTAGGCCACCCCTAAAAGCTGCCCCTTTTTATCGGCTCGTCCGAAATAATCGCGATAATTTCGCAAAGTGTCACAAACACGCGAGCGGCCAGAGCCGGAACAAATTTAAACTTAGCCTGAGTTTGATACAGCAGAGTAAACAAGGGACCTGTCAAAGTGTTTTTGTGCTGCTGGCACATTTCACAAGGTATGTTTTTTTTAAATGCCTACTTTACGTGTTTTGACGAAGTTTGTATTTTATTTTTAGAGTTTTAAGGAAAACTCAACAATGAAATATTTTTACCATTATTATTGTTGCTCTTTGTCTAATTATTACGGTCCCATTATTTTGAATCCAATTAAAGTTTTCGTCTTTTTCAATAAATATATTTTTAATTTTTATAGTTAAGCCAAGGCAATTGCCCGCCTAGAATAAAGTAGAGTCAGTACTAGCAGGTTAGCGAAAGTTAGAAAATATCAACTTTTCATCAATTTTATGAACATCCATTTACTTTGTTGCACAATTTCACAAGGCAATCAGCCACGTCCAATTAGCCTTGGGCGACTTCTTGAACCTCTTTCTTTGTCTCGCGAGCACTCATTTGGATTTTTGATATTTCATATCCCGCGCTGACGTTCCATCAGAAAATCTAGAGCGGATCCGCGTGCATGTTGGCAATGTTCGTTATTCAAATACGCCGTTGATTAAAAGCGCGCGCGTGCTCAGCGAACATGAGTTTGCCTGCGTTTGTTAACTTTCGCGCATGTTTTCAATGAAAACAAGCACGTCTACTTTACATGAGCATTAATCACGATTAAATTAAATTAATTTAGGCACAACGTTCCGAACAACAACGTGTCTATAAAGTGGGTGCTTTTAGCAAAGGCACTATTAACATTTTTTGTTTTCTAACGTTTGAGTAAAATGGAAATGTTATTTTACTTTTTAAGTAAAATACACATATATTTATTTTACTTTTTACTCTACTTTATTTATTCTGATTTTAAATTATATTGATTAAAAGCAGCAAAAAGCAGCATATCCTCAATTAACATTTTTAATCTAAACTTCCACAAGAAATTTACAAAGCACACACTCGCACTAACTAATTAACAACATTCCCTTCCTTGACAAGAAGATATTTTGAATGAAACTAAATTAATCTATGCAAAACGACATCAAACGAAATTATGCAATTAAATAAAATACAATTTCCAATACATTAAAACCAGATTTTCCAGAATAATTACTTCAAATTTTTAATTTTATAAGGGACAAAAACATGTCATGTTAACCTCCAATTTTTGAAATATTAATTGTATTTCAGCGCCTGAATAATTTTAATTATCCACAAATGACAATAAAATATATAAAAAAAAATTATTATCAAAGAAGGTTAAAACTTGATTTATCATTTTTAATTTTACATGGAACGTAATTATTATAACAAAAGTTTGGAATTAATGCTCAAGCCTTCAGATTGGTCGTATAATAGGCTTTGGAGCCCCCATTCAAATTCGAGTTTCGCAAAATTCAAAGCAAATATTGCCGTCGAGGATCTTGAACAAAAGATTTGCTTTCCCCGGGCGCATCAAATCCAACAAAGACAAACACAGAACTTCTCATCATGCGTGTTCTATTATACTGTACTTTGTGGGCTGGAGAGCGAGGGATCTCTTGATGCTCCTCTAATACATCAACGTCCTACGAGTGGATGGGCGCTGGACAAACATCATTGCAGCCGGCCGAGAGATTGCTTGCGCTTATCACAAGAGATTTCCACCCCTGACACCTTTCAAGCCAAAGCACAGGTCGGTTGGCAAGGGGTCGTGGATTTATTTGCAAAAAATCAGGTGAAAAGAACACAAAATTTGACGGATTTTGGCGTGGAAAAAACTCGGAAAAGTCAAAAGCTTTCTCGGAAAAACGCTACTGTAGTTTCAACTTAAAAATGGAATATCTCGGGTTCTAATTGAGATACAGAAATGCGGCTAGCACCAAAAATTTTCTTTTTACCTCCTCTTCAATCCTGAGGGGTCAAATAATCCAGAGGTCAAAGGTCAAGGTCATTTTTCAG